CATAGAACGACATTTGCAACTGCACGAGTCAGAGAGCGAGCAAAGCCTGAACAGCTAACCAGACAGCCAGCCAACACAAAGTAAAGCCGAGCATAGCATTCATCCATGGGCTGCAATCGGCCAGCAGCAGCAACAACAACACCTACTCCAAAACAAAACCCAGACCAAACAAATTGCAGCAGCAGCAGCAACATGCAACACGGCAACCAACATGCAATTTAACCCAAAAACAACATCACCCAGTGTTGTTGTTTCTTTGTTGCTGTTGTTGTTAATATTTTTGTGGCCCAAGGTGGCGACATCGGCATTTTGGTGACTGGGTTAGCCACTCACCAAAGCAAAAAAAAAATGCCTAGGTATTTTGTATTTCGGTTGTGTGTGAACTGTGTGGATTTTCGACTGGTAGCAACATAATTGCCACACGAGCAGTAGCAACAACAACAACAACGGCAACAATCACAAGTCTTGCCTTGCAACCTACTCTTGTTGTCTCGGCCAAATAGCAAAGTTTAAAAATAGAATTGGTAGCAGCTAAATGTAGCGTGAGGTTATTGACTTGTAGCTTGGCCCACTAAGTTCCAGAGAACTAATGTGGGATGAAGTTTTCGTAGACAAATATGGGGGAAGGGTGTTCTCTCATTGTCCTTGTGACCTTCAAACAGTGGCTGCAAAAATGTGTCTTCTAAACGATTTTCTTTTCAACAAGATCAAGACAAATCAAGACGCTTGTCAGTCATTGTAACATAATTTTTACAAGTCCTTGCAAGGATGTGCCACTAAAAATATCCTTTTGTTTGTATTATCCTAGACATATTTATTTTTACACATTTTTTGTACCTTAAAATATCTGTAGCTGTAGTTGTTTTTTTCGTAACTAAAAGTTCTCCATATTTTTTGGCTTCTTTATGCTTATAAGCCAAGTCCTTGAAAATACTATCCTTTTTTGTTTTCTTGTTGTTGTTGTATTGTTTTGGCCACCCGATGTCATGTCATTGACATCGTTAAAGTTCATTTAACTCCATGCTACGTGGAGAGAGAGAGTAGTCAAATATGACGACAGTTTACGGATATGGATGAGAGATAAAGGACATCATGGAGAGTGGGAGAAAAGCTAAAAAAAGCTTTAGTAAAGCTTAGGATATGAACATACAAAAGGGCGACCTCTGGAGGTTTTCGATTGCATTTTCTTATGTGCTAGCAAAAGGTATCCTGCTTCAGAATTAAAAAAATATTTTAAAAATCCAGGCACCCTTAATGGGCCCTTAAAAATTATTAAAAAAATCCAAAATTATTATGGACCATTAATAGGCCCTTAATTTTTTTTTTTTAAACCAAGCCTTAAAAAAATATGTTAAAAATTCAGGCCATCTATGGACCCTTAATAGGCCCTTAAAAAATTATTTTAAAAATCCAGGTCTTCTATGGACCCTTAAACAAATTATGGATACTTAATGGGCCCTTAAAAAATTATTTTAAAAATCCAAGCCTTCTATGGACGTTTAACAAATTATTTTAAAAATCCAGACCTTCTATGGACCCTTAATAAATATTATTAAAAAATCCTGCCCTTCTATGGGCCCTTAAAAAATTATTTTAAAAATCCAGGGCTTCTATGGACTCTTAAAAAATTATTGAAAAAATCCAGGCTTTCTATGAACCCTTAATGGGCCCTTAAAAAATTATTTTTAAAATCCAGGGCTTCTAAAAATTATTTTAATAATCCAGGCCTTCTATGGACCCTTAATGGGCCCTTAAAAACATTATTTTAAAAATCCAAGGCCTTAATGGGCCCTTAAAAAATTATTTGAAAAATCCAGGCCTTCTATGAACTCTAATGGACCCTTAAAAAAATATTTAAAAAAATCCACGCCTTCTATGGTCCTTTAATGGGCCATTAAAAAATTATTTTAAATATCCAGGTCTTCTATGGACCATTAAACAAACAAATCCAGGCCTCCTATGGACCCTTAATGGCCCCTTAAAAAATTATTAAAAAATCCAGGCCTTCTATGGACCCTTAAAAAATTATTTTAAAAACCCACGCGTTCTATGGACCCTTAATGGGCCCTTAAAAAATTATTTTAAAAACCCAATCCTTCTATGGATCCTTAATGGGCCCTTAAAAATATTATTATTAAAGTCCAGGGCTCCTATGGACCCTTAATGGGCCTTTAAAAATTATATTTAAAATCCAGGCCTTCTATGGACCCTTAATAGGCTCTTAAAAAATTATTTTAAAAATCCAGGCCTTCTATGGACCCTTAATGGGCCCTTAAAAAATTATTTTAAAAACCCACGCCTTCTATGGACCCTTAATGGGCCCTTAAAAAATTATTTTAAAAATCCACGCATTCTATGGACCCATAATGGGTCCTTAAAATTTTTTGTTTAAAAATCCAAGCCTTCTATGGACCCTTAACGGACCCTTAAAAAATATTTTAAAAATCCATGCCTTCTATGGACCCTTAATAGGCCCTTTAAAAACTATTTTAGAAATCCAGGCCTTTTATGGACCCTTAAAAAAATTATTTTAAAAATCCAGGACTTCTATGGACCCTTAATAAATTATTTTAAAAATCCAGTACTTCTATGGACCCTTAATGGGCCCTTAAAAAAATTATTTTAAATATCCAGGCCCTCTATGGACCCTTAAAAATATTATTTAGAAAATCCAGCCTTGTTTGGACCTTTAAAAAATTATTTTAAAAATCCAGGCCTTCTATGGACCCTTAAACAAATTATTTTAAAAATCCAGGCCTTCTATGGACCCTTAATGGGCCCTTAAAAAATTATTTTTAAAATCCAGTGCTTCTATGGACCCTTTAAAAATTATTTTAAAAATCAAGGCCTTCTATGGACCCTTAATAGACCTTAAAAAATATTTCAAAAATCCTGACCTTTTATGGATCTATAATGGGCCCTTAAAAAATATTTTAAAAATCCAGGCCTTCTATGGACCCTTAAACAAATTATTTTAAAAATCCAGGCCTACTATGGACGCTTAAAAAATATTATTAAAAAATTCACGCCTTGTGTGGACCCTATGGACCCTTAAACAAATTATTTAAAAAATCCAGGCATTCTATGGACCCTAAATAGGCCCTTAAAAAATTATTTTAAAAATCCAGACCTTCTTTGGACCCATAATGGCCCTTAAAACATTATTTTAAAAATCTAGGGCTTCTATGGACCCTTAATGGGCCCTTAAAAAATTATTTTGTAAAATCCAGGCCTTCTATGGACCCTTAACAAATTATTTTAAAAATCCGGGCCTTCTATGGACCCTTAAAAAATTATTTTAAAAATCCAGGGCTTCTATGGACCCTTAAAAAATATTATTAAAAAACCACGCCTTGTGTGGACCCTTAAAAAAATTATTTTAAAAATCCAGGCCTTCTATGGACCCTTAAAAAATTATTTTAAAAATCCAGGCCTTCTATGGATCCTTAAAAAATTATTTTAAAAATCCAGGCCTTCTATGGACCCTTAATGGGCCCTTAAAAAATTATTTGAAAAAACCCAGGGCTTCTATGGACCCTTAATGGGCCCTTAAAAAATTATTTTAAAAATCCTCGCCTTCTCTGGACCCTTAATGGGCCCTTAAAAAAATATTTTATAAATCCAGGCCTTCTATGGGCCCTTAAAAAAATTATTTAATTTTGAAAAAATGCACACCTTCTTTGGGCCCTTGAAAAATATATTTTTAAAAAAATCCGCGCCTTCTATCTACCCTTAAACACTTTAAAAATTTAAACCCTTTTTTTAAAAAAATTATTTTCTACCGGAAACGGAAATTAAACCAATACAAATTTAAACTGTTTAGCAAAAGCTCTGCTAATGAGAGAGCAAAAGCTTGGCCACCAAATTTTTTTGTTTGTTATTGAAATAAATTTCGTTTTTCTTTTTAAGCAGAACCATGTGAGCTTTTAGCATCAGACCATTTGGTTTGAAGCAAATATATTAATCATACTAAATTCGCACGCGCTACAACATTCAAGTTCAAGTGAGCGTGAGAGAGCCACATTAGATGACTTCTATGGAAATGGAAATAGAGAGAGTAAAAGCTTCTCAACAAAATCGAAAGTTTATTTATTTATTTTGTTATTCCTGCACTGAGAAGCAAATGAATCAACTGGTTGTAAAGTAGTAAACAATGGCAAAAAATGTTCTAATGGCACGGAAATTCTAACAACATGTTGGAAGCACATGCTGGCTTGCTGGTCGGTTGGTTGGCTGGCTGACTGACTGGCCGACTCAATGTTGGACACATGGCGTATGCTTTTATTCCACATTCGCCTACCAGTGCAGCAGCATCGTAACGGTTGTCGATCACGGAGAAATTCGCCATACAGTCAAACAACCACAACGTCTTTGTTTACAAGCCAACACAAATCCGTTTAGCGCTAAAAATTCAAAATATTTTGAAAATAATAGACATTTGTAGATAATGCCAGTCCGGAGAAGTTGACAACGCTGACATGCCAATGTGTTGAGGAAATGATTTCAATTTCAAAACTAGCCATTGTTTTATGAAAATGCATAAAGACTTGACAAAGAATAAAACTCGTAAAAAACAGCTATTCCAATACTGAGATAAAAATAAAAATCTAATTACAACAATTCAATAATTGCCAATACAATAATAACAAGAAAATAAATTGTGTGATAAAAACAAGTGAATTTATTTAATTAGAAAAAAAAATATTTCAATATTAGATAAAAATTAGATAATTGAAAAAAAAAATAAAATTAAAAAGGTGCCATATTAATATTCAACACAAACACATCGTAATTTCAAATCTCCTAAAATAGAAAGTGTCGTCAATTACGAATCCATTCTCAGAAAAATAAAAGTGCAAAAAAGAATCCTAGTTTAAATTCCAACTGCCACTCGAAAATTATCTTTCCTGCTGCCGCCATATTTTAAAGTAAAACTAAAAAATATAAAAATCAACAAAATTCCTTCAAAAGCCATACGAAACCAGACCCGAGCAGTCATCATGACAGTTGGCTCCCGAGAAGATCTCTTTGCCAATGCAAAGCCCATTGATGATACGGAACGTTTGATAGGAAGGGTCCTAGCGGGTGAGTTAATACAACTTTTATGCTAAGATAAATAGTTATCTGGTAGATAATTTATCACGATAATAATAAATGATTATCTATGGCATTTAGATAATCAAAAATGATTATCTAAGGAATTACGAGAATCAATCAAGATTATCTATTGCATATAGATAATCTATGACAGTTATTATCTATGACATTTAGATAATCCAACAGCGTTATCTATGGCATTTAGATAATCAAATATTGATATCTATGGCATTTAGATACTCACAAAAAATTATCTATGGCAGTTAGATAATCTCAAATGATTATCTATGATGTGTAGGTAATCAAAAATGATTATCTATGGGTTTCAGATAATCAAACATCATTATCTATGGAATTAAGATAATCCAATATGATTATCTATGGCCTGCAGATAATCAAATATGATTATCTGTGACCTTCAGATAATCAAATATGATTACCTATGGGCTTCATATATGATTATCTATTGGCTTCACGTAATCAAATATGATTATCTACGGCATTTAGATTATCAAAAATTATTATCTATGGCATTTAGATAATCATTATCGATTATCTATGTCGCTTAGATAATCAAAAAGTATTATCTATGCAATTTACATTTCCAGAACTGATTATCTATTACATTTAGATCATCAAAAATTATTATCTATGACATTTAGTAAATCAAACTATCAAACTATGGCTGTTAGATAATCAAAAATATTATCTATGGCTCCTAGATAATCATAAATGATTAACTATGGCAATAAGATAATCATACCTGGTTATCTATGGCATTTAGTTAATCGAAAATGATTATCTATGGCATTGAGATGATCTGAAATGAGTATCTATAGCATATAGATAATCAAAAATTATTATCTATGACTCTTAGATAATCATAAATGATTATCTATGGCATTCAGATAATCAAATAAGATTATCTATGACATCTAGATAATCAAACATGATTATCTGTGGCATTTAGATAATCAAAAGTGATTATCTATGGTATTTAAATAATCACATAATATTATCTATGCATTTAATTAACCATACATGGTTATTTACATAAACTGAATAATAAAATCTTACTATTTACATTATCTACGTAGTATAATACATTATCTAAGTTATCTAAACACCAAAATTAGGGTTATCCCCTTTATCTAGAGGAAGCGTACTAATTTTCTAGGTTATCTAAGTATTGGAGACCAGTTATCTACATTATCTTCATAAAATTATCTAAGTATTTACGTTATATATATATAGTGAAAACTGATTATCTCTGTTATCTACTTAACGAAAATCGGTTATCTACATTATCTTCAGTAAATTATCTTAATATTTACGTTATCTATATAGTGAAAACTGATTATCTCTGTTATCTACTTAACGAAAATCGTTTATTTACGTCATTTATATAATGAAAACGGATTATCTACGTTATCTAAATATTGAAATCTTATGATCTGCGTTATCTATTTTAAAAAATCGGTTATCTAAGTTATCTAAATTGTAAAATCAAATTATCTACATTATCTAAATGACGAAAACTTGTTGTCTACGTTATCTAACCACCAAATAATCTGTTGTGGCTATTATATATTATATCTATGTTATCCGAATAATTAAATCTTGCAATCAACATTATCTAGGTTTATTTAAGCTATCTAAATTCCAAAATCTAATTCTCTATGGTATCTAGATGACAAAAACTGTTTATCTACGTTATCTAAATAAATAAAAATCTATATTTTTGCCTTTTATCTGAATAATCATTGAATTATCTAAGTATATACGCCATCTATATAGTGAAAACTGATTATCTATGTTGCCTACGTAACAGACATGTTTTCTGCACGTTATCTTAATAATTAAACCTAATTATCTCCATTATCTGAGCACTGAAATCTTTCTATGTACATTATCTAGATAATATAATCAAGTATCTATGTTATCTAAATACCAAAATCAAATTATCAATGTTGTCTATATGATCAAAACTGCTTATCTACGTTATCTTAACAACAAATAAATACATTTTTGGCTATTATCTAAATTATCTGGATTATATACTTTATATAGATTACAATAAGATATTATCTGCGTCATCTAAACAACGATAAAATATTATCTACGTTATCTAGATGAGGATAACAGATTGTCATCGTTATCTTGATAACGATAAAATATTATCTACGTTATCTAGATGACGATAGCATATTATCTACGTTATCTATATAACGATAAAATATTATCTATGTTATCTGGATAAGGATAACACAATATCTACGTTGTCTATATCACGATTAAAGATTATCTACGTTATTTATATGACGATAAAATATTATCTATGTTATTTAGATGACGATAAAAGATTATCTACATTATCTAGATGGAGATAACAGATTATCTACGTTATCCAAATAATCAAAACTTAGTATCAACTGCTATCTAAGCTATCTTTTTTACATAAAACTACTAACCAAGTTATTTAAATAACGAAAAATTATTATCTACATTATCTAGACTTTTTAAAATCAATATTTATTTCAAATAAATTCCAAAATTTATCTATACAGATAATATAATAATATTTCCCTGGATATATGTTAGTTTCGCATATCCTTAACAAATTCCCTTCCATAATTTTGTAACATGAAAAATATATGCCTGTAAATCTACAACAACCACAAAATTCCCCCGAGCTTTATTGCCCATGCATCACAAAAAAGCTAAAATATATTATCTCATTTTGTTTTTCCAAATAATATTTGAACTAGAATTTGCGTTATCATTAATGCCTGACAAATCACTCTGAGAGTGTGAGAGTGTGTTTGTGTGCGGAACGCACAAGCCAATATTGCCTATGAGAATGAACAAACAAAAATGGTGTCAGGAAGGGAAGAAGAGGGAAGGAGGGAATGAAGGGAAAGGTATGGGGAAGGCAGAGGAAATTATCTTAAATGAATTCAGTCATTTTGTATTTTGTTTATCTATACGTGTAGGTGATTGGGACACACACACGCACACAATTCGATTTTGCAAAATTTCTCCGCACACCTTACTTCCTTCCCCACGACACCTATTCCCACCTTTCCCTGCCATCCTCTTTACCATTTGTATTCCCAATGTTCCCAAAAATGCTTCCCACTTTTTTGTATGATGTTGTTGCTTGTTGTTCATGTTGCTGTCGTTGTTGTTGGTGTTGTTATTCCTATCTGTTGATTGTCGGTCATTGAACTCTCTAATATTTTTTTTTTAACAAAGTTAACCTAAATTTTTGTTGATTATTTTTTATTTAGCTGTATTAGTTAGCTTTTAGTGGGATAGCGCGAAGTGTGTGCGAGAGTGTGTGCGTTTCTAGCTTGATTTTGTTGTTGTTTTGCAAAAAATTCATTTTGTTTTCGTTCATTTGAAGTGAGTGCGTGGTGCTGGTTGCGTACTTAACTATCACTTTCAGTTAGACAAATAATATTCTGGAAGAGAGAGAGAGAGAGGGGAAAGTGGGGAGGGAGGAGGTTGGAACCGAAACATTATGTACGTAAATACATTCAGGTGGGTCGTAAATAAATTTATATGGGGTTCTGTGGATGCAAATATTCTGTTGCCTTAGAAAGATTTGGGAAATAATTATTCCCACATTAATATTCAATACCCTGGTGAATAATTTCAATGGGGGTTTGATTTTTTTGGTATTAGTATGAGCTTATCTATTAGAATTCGATTAGAAATATAATTATTTTGCTGTTGTAGGACTTCTTTAGTTTGGAATTTAATATTGGAAGTGAATAAAATAGGGAGAGTGATTTAGAGATATTTTCGATTAATGCCCATTTTATCCATCAAATCTCAATTTTAGGAAATTGGTGTCAATGGAAAATATGTTCCTCGGGAAATTTAATTATGGGTATCGAAATATAAGAAATCTCTAACTTTAGTATTTATAATATTTTTGAGGATGACATATTTGCTTATAGAATTTATTGGTGCATTTTTAACAATTTTCGAATATTGACCATTTGTCCTTCAAATCTCAATTTTAGGAGGTCGGTGCTCATGGAAATATGTTCCTCGGAAAATTTTATTATGAGTCTTGGAATATAAGAAATTTCTATCTCTAATTTTTATAATATTTTTTAAAGATCGTATGGGCAATATACCGCCCAGAATTTATTGGTTAATTTTTAAACATTTCCGAATAATGACCATTTTTTCCTCCAAAATCCAAATTTAGGAAATTTGTGTCAATGGGAAATATGTTCCTCGGGAAATTTAACTATGCGTATCGGAACGCAAGAAATTTCTATCTCTAATTTTTATACTATTTTTGGAGATCATATCCAAGGGTATATTTTCATATTGAACTTATAGGTTAACTTTTGAACTATTTTTGACTATTGGCCATTTTGCCCAACAAAACTCCATTTTAGGGGGTTGGTGCCAAGGAAAACTAAATTTCTCAGAAAATTTCACTATAGGTCACCGAACACCAGAAATCTCTACCTCTATTCTTTACACTATGTTTTTGAAGATCTTCTACACGATTGATTTTCTTATGGAATTTCTATGTTTATTTTTAATAATTTTCGGCTATTGACCCTTTAGGCCCACAAAAGCCTGTTTTAGGTGGTTGATGCCAAAGAAAAAAATATTCCTTAGAAAATTCCACTATAGGTCGCCGAACTCAAGAAATCGATAGCTTTAATTTTTATACTATTTTTTTGATCTATTTTAGATCTTATTCACGGTATATTTTCTTAACGAATTTCTAGGTTTATTTTAAACAATTTCCGAATACTGGAAATTTTGAACTCCAAACCTCAATTTTAGGATTTTGGTGTCAATCGGAAATATGTTCCTCGGAAAATTTCAGTATGGATTTCGGAACACAAGAAATCTCTAACTCGAATATTTATGATTGAAGATCTTCGGCACGGTATGCTTTCTATGGTATTTCAGTCTTTATTTTTAACAATTTCCGACTATTGTCCATTTTACCC